TGGAAGTGAACACTCTAGGACATAAAGTGTGGTCTGCTCCACGTTTCCAACAGACTAGAACTAAACACCATCATGTGTTTCCACTTTCTGTCCGTAAACAATCTCTTAGAGAACATTAAGTGTGATGTGAAGTATGGGCTTTGACATCTTTGATCAAAAAGCTGGCACTGAGTTTTGCCCTCGCAGCCAAAAATGTAAAATACAACCGCAAAAATTCTTTAATAACATTTGGTTAAAAGAAGGTGTCGTTGGTGAAAAATGTTTTTCTTCTGACAGGAGATGAAGGAAAGCCAAACGTTGAGGTGATCATTCTGGTGTGTACTGGGGCAGCTGCCACCTTCCTCTGGCTCATGCTCATCCTCTTCATCCGCAAGCTGAGAAAGGTAAAGTTTAAAAGGCCAGATTTGAAGACATCTCTTCCTCTTGGTTCCAAATATTTTGTCTCCACTGATTACATAGAAGGAAGTGACTCAGTTACTCTTCAGTGAAATAGTTCAGTGGAAGGATACATTTAGAAGGTTAGTTGCACATTTCATGAGTTTCGTTCTAAGTAACGCAAATGTTTTGGGAAAAGAACATAAGATTTATGTGCAGTCAGTAGGGCTGCTCGGTTGTGGCAAAAATCTAGTTTGCCAGGAAGGAATCCAAATTTTTCCATAATGCTGGGAAGCCATTATTATCATCAACTATAGCTGTTCCTGTTCAATTACATCACACACATCTAGCAACTAGTTTAGGGTAAAACTTTAGAATAATCATGTCGTTAATGTATGTCCTCACCTTTAGCAACCAGCTCACTACAAGATGGGTCCATCCATCATCATTGACCCTGATGAGTGTCCCCTGGACGAGCAGAATGATCTGCTTCAGTATGATAGCAGCAAATGGGAGTTTCCCCGGGACCGCCTGCGCCTTGGTGAGTATCGAGCAATATTTTTCATTCATTCATTTATTAACCCAGTGATTCACCCCCACAGCTATTGCTTCAAAACTACCAAAGTGCAATCTCCATTAAACAAAGTAAATAACAAATGACCTTTAGCACAAATAAAGAAAATATTGAAACATATTTGGCCTCCTGTGCTCTACGCTCACTGGGTGAGACTGCCCCCCACTTTGAAAACCACTGCATTGAGGGGTGGCCTACTTGGTTGCGAAATATCTAAATGTCCTGAAGCATTTTCTTTAAATTTCAGTTTTACAACTTTAGAACTGTGTTCTTTCCTCTCAAAACTGTTTCCGTAGCAGGCCACAGCGTGTAGTGTATTACTGCATTTACATGCTGTAATACACAATAAGAACAAAGTGGGGAAACCACTGTGTGTAATAGTCTCAATTTCAGCATCATTTTGAAAATATTGTAGAATTGTTACAAAGGGTTGAAAGTTCATCTTCAAAGTGGCTGATGGGAAGTATTCTCACAGTCACCCTAAAGTATCACTGGGATGGGTGTCACCACTCTCTGCAGCTGGTGAGTAGGGTCATTACTTATCAGTGACCTGTGCTGTCATCCCGTTGTAAGTGGGTCATAAATTCTCTGGGAGAACTGCCTGATGATCACAGCCCCAGCATGTTGTTTTAATTACAGACTCAAAGCCCAACTGACAGAGAAACAAGTTTGATTTTTTTTCACCCTAGAGACAGGAAGCGCTAATGTCAACCCACTTACCAGATACTCTTTACCTTTCCCAGGCAAAACGCTGGGACATGGAGCTTTTGGGAAAGTGGTGGAGGCGTCTGCCTTTGGGATCGATAAGCTGTCAACCTGCAAGACTGTTGCTGTGAAAATGCTGAAAGGTAAAGTCCAAAGAATGTGTTGCACACTTTATCTCTAAATGTTTAATATCAAATATTAGCATAGCACCTCAGAGCCGCAGCACCGCGTGTGTCTGTAATCACTGTTTGTGGAATGTATCGGTTCAAAACAAAGAATGCACGGTTGGTTTCCTGCAAAGTGCAGTTTGAGGGTAAGTCTGAGACCTCTCACCCCATTCCTTAAGAGGAGGTTTAGCATGGACCATAATGTCTTGTGATCTACAAGCACAGCAGATGTTGGGTAAGAAAATGAGCCATTAAACACATTTACATTTGCAACATTTCAGTGGCTTCAACATTGTGAAACGATCCCAGGCCTCCATAAATGTTGGCGTGAAACAAAGCCACTAGGCCAGAACCAAACCAAGCATTTGAATGCTATTTATGAGATAATAAATTTAATTTTCATGACATTTCATCACAGACTTCTTTTATATATTATGAGGGTCTGAACAAATATGGATGTAAAGTACAGCTGGTTGGTGGAGGCTGACATACGTCAAGCTGTGACGGAAACTCTTTTTTTCAAAGACCAAGTTGAATGCATAACACAAAGTGATGAAACATGGACCAAATTTGGGCTCAGAGTTAGAAGTGACTGGTCACTGTCATAGCATTAATCACGTTTCACCATAAATCACAAGATGTGCGTGGGCAACAGACTCTGGCTGTTTTTAGTCGTAGGTCAAACTTAATGGAAAGCAGCAGGTCTCCTCACATTGACCGTGGTTTCGTTAGAGACTCCCCGGCTGCTTCAGCCCCAGCCTCATAAATATTAGTTTGGTTGGAAAGAACATAAGACACAGTCAGTCTTGATTTTTCTTGGTTCAATTTAAGGACAATACTCTATTGTTTAAAGTGTGTCCTTTTTTCAGGGGTTGCCACAGCGAATCATTGATTTCCATCTCTCCCTGTTCTCTGTATCTTCTACTCTGACTCCAACTATCTGCATGTCCTCCCTCACTGCATCCATACATCTCCTCTTTGTTTCCTACCTGGTAGCTGCATCTAAAACCATCTCAATCTTTTTTTTTCTCCAACCCTTCCTGTCTGTGTTGTCCCTCCAATGACCTCATTCCTGATCCTGTCCGTCCTTGTCACTCCTAAAGAGAATCTTAGCAGCTTTCATTGTTTAAAGTTCTACAAAATCACGTAATCATGTTTTGTGAGAACATTTTGTCGTAGTGATGTCCTTTTTTTATTGGCTCCTTGATTTATCACTTTTCTTCATCCATATTGATGGGGCTGAACTAATATTATGACTCCCACATCAAATTCAATAAACTGTTCAAATTAAATTTCCCAGTAATCCTCTCTACATACTCCAAATCCTGTTTAATGCTTCCTCCAATCTTTCACACTGCAGGGAAAATATTTATCTAATAAAAATAATTTTTTACAAAGTTTTAACCAGGATCAGAACAAAAGGATTTGCAGTACAAAAACAATAAATCATTCCCAAAATCCTGAATAAATCGACTAAATTAATTAAGTGTATATGTGTCTCAAGCAAATCCACCTTTTTAATTATTTAGGTGTAAAATAAAATAATAAAACTACAAATAAGTGAGCTTTTTAATAAAGTGGACAGTAATGGAAGGATATGTATAAATAAAACAAAAGGTTCTCGGTATAATCTGTGATAGACCTGAGAGTCTAATATTTAAGTCTAAAAATTGGTTTTATTTGATGAAGCAGTCTGATCTCCTGTGTTTATTATGGACTAACCTACTGTCCACTGTCCACTGTCCACTGCTGTTGTCATACTGTGTGAAGATTCATTGACTGATTCTTAACAAACTGCATACATAGGTGGGGCTACATCCAATGAAAGGAAAGCTCTGATGTCAGAGTTAAAGATCCTGATCCACATTGGTCATCACCTGAACGTGGTCAACCTGCTGGGAGCCTGCACAAAGCCCGGAGGTGAGCTTCATCACTTACACCTCCCAGATTATATCAGAAAAGGTTCAGACCTTCATCATCATTATCCTGCTTAAGTGTGAACTACAGGAGTTAACAGCCAACATGTTTTTAACAGGCCCGCTGATGATTATTGTCGAGTTCTGCAAGTACGGCAACTTGTCCTACTACTTGAGAAGCAGGAGGGAGGACTTCCTGGTCTACAAGGTGAAGAACCCACTGTGTTGTTTTGACCCGTTTTGTCTGTGGCGCTGGTGCACAGTCAGCAACCTCCATCTCACCTCGTCTCATTTCATCTCATCTTATCTCATTCACAACATGATATATGTGTTTCCGCTCAGAGCCAGGACGGTAAGGTGGTGTCTCCGGGATTATCCTGCCAGCTCAGCGAGCTGATGAAGCGCCGTCTGGAGAGTGTAGCCAGCACAGGAAGCTCAGCCAGCTCTGGGTTCATCGAAGATAAGAGCTACTGCGATTCAGAGGAAGAGGAAGAAGGTAAAAAAAA